TTTTTACAACTTTGCTCTACGGATCTGAGGCATGGACATTGAAACAACTGGAGATTAAGAAATTCTAAGCTTTTGAGCGTTGGTGTTATCGAAGGATGCTACGAATAGCATGGGTAGACAAAATTACCAATATTGAAGTCCTTGATAGGGTTAATAAGAGGGAAGAAATTGTACAGACAATTAAGAGGCGGAAACTTGAATATTTCGGTCATATATTAAGAGGTCCTCGTTATGGGCTACTACGTTTGATTATAGAGGGCAAAATAAAAGGTAAAAGAGATGTAGGAAGAAGACGAACCTCCTGGCTACGAAATCTAAGGGAATGGTTTAGTCTGAGCTCTAGCCAACTATTTAGAGCTGCTGTAAGTAAAATAAGAATTGCCATGTTGATATCCAACCTTCGTTAGAAGATGGAACCTTAAGAAGAAGAATCAATGAAGGAGACTTCAAAGTTGTAAAATGTAAGGATCTGATCACAAAAAAAAAAAGATAAGTTGTATTGTTGTCAAGTGACTTCTGTAAGCGAGAACAGTAGGGGTGACAACAGGATCAAAGAAGTAATCAAAAGACTGATATTTTTTTGTACACACTTATGACAAGTCGAAAGAAAATGTAAAAAAGTATTTTTGAAGTGTGTATATTTTAGGCAATTCCTAGCTGAGCGCTTTCGGCTTTACAAAGCCATCAAATTGTTCAATTTGAGCAATTTGAGCCCTTGTTTCTTAAGGATGGCTGTCAGATTGAACATACATTGACCTTGAGCAATGACTTGAGTGAATTTAAAAACTAATGTCATTCTGTATGATGTGATGAACACATAAAATTTAATTTAAACACTTAATTTTTAGAAAGTCTTTGATGACTATTAGTAATTCCAAATATTAAATATTTTTGTAAGAATTTAAAAAACAATCTCTATTTCCTATATATGACATTTGTCAACTGTCACTTTTGAAAAAATCGTTTAAAAGGACCGACATTTGATTTCATTAGTTCTATTCTGCCTACCTCCTCAGATCAAACAATGGTCGGGTTCTTACACCCGTACCATGACAAAAAACTTTTTCAATTTTTTTAACGTGTTTGTGAAGTCCAGTGTCGGTTTTTTATATGTTTTTTTATATGTTTTAAGAATTTCAACAAAAATCATAATTTTGAAATATAAGGAAATGAGATCTCTCCTTTGTAGTGGTATTTAAAAAATTGACGTAAGTTAAAAATTATAATCTTTACCAATTAGTACTTATAAGAACATTTTATTGTAGCATATGATGGCTTTGTAAAGCCGGAAGCGCTCAGCTAGGAATTGCCTAAAATATACACACTTCAAAAATACTTTTTTACATTTTCTTTCGACTCAAAGAAGTAAGTTTTTTAAAGCAGTATAGGTGTCACAGAGACATTTTTGTATGGCCTGAAATTAAAGAAACAAGCATAGTGTATCCTCATGAGCTGATCAGCAAACTTCAGAATTACGTGGATATGGCCGCCTAAAATTTTCAAAAAATGTTTTTTAATTTTTCTTTATGAATAAAAAGTTTTTACAAAACATACTATGCGTCTCAGTTTACCTTAAGGCTTTTAGAAAATAATACACCATTTATTTTATATGGTGTATCATTTCACCCACTTATCTAGGGTGAAGTGATACAAGGGATTTTTTTTAAATGAAAATGGTAAATATTTTTGAAAATAAAATTTGATTATATGATTGGATAGTCTGAAGATAGATCAATAAAATCATAGTATAAAGTCGATTTAAAATAAAATTTGCCGCTGTCAATGCATTTTGAATTTGAAAACTGTATCACTTCTTCCTGTTTTACAGTAGGGTAAAATGTGCAAATACCGGTCAGTGGGTAATGGCGGTCATCCCGATTGTGCGAAATCTATTCAATCTGGCAACCTCCTATAATTGCCAATGTGTCGCTACACTACTCTGTATTCAGATTGCTGACGAGCGTTGAGTTGGCGCAAACCATTGTCATAGAAATATTATTAACCTGTTTTCAGTGTTTTCGATCTTATTTTTATGCTGAGTAATATAAGGTCTTAATTCATTTTTATTCACTTGTAGATCTTAAAATTGGTTACAATTGATTATAATGACGTTAGCTGCCTATTCCTTTTTTAAAGATCAATATTTTAATACATGTTTACTAGTAAAAAATTCTAAGAAAAAAAATGCCAACCGGAGGCAATGCCGGTCAGTTGACCGGTATTACCCCCATGCTATAATTTATACCCTATACTATTAATCCATAGGGATTAATCCATTTATTTTTCGACATTGCAAGAAAGAATAAAAAATAAAAATCTTCAAGGTGTCTCATTAGGTAGAAAATCAGTATTTGCTGCCGAACAAGAAGCTAAAATAGCCACACAAAAAAAATATTTAGCTTAATTTTTTATGGCGTAACAGCAATAGAACTGAGAAAATTAGCATTTGGGTTTACAAGATAATTTTTCTTGTAATAAAACACCTTTTTCTTGTAATTGGCATTACAAGAAAAAGGTGTTTGATTTTAGTTCTTTGGAATCAGATATTGATATATCATGTGATAACAGTGCATACGAAGATAGATGCCTGGTTTACAGCGAGTTTGGCAAAACAATGAATTGTGATATATATTTACCGTTTGCTCAAGATGGGCTTATTCAGAGTGCAGTGGATGGGATTCTGCAGAGAGTTATACCTGCGCTGACTGTCAACTATTTTTAAATTAAATTAAAACACATATTTTTGTTTGTTTTGTAATAAAAAATATTTTTTCGCCTTTCTTACTGATTTACTTGAATTATGACCCATTAAGCCACATTCGTTAATCGTTTTATAACAAAAAAATGTTAAATAGATATTAATTTTTATTTTAATAATAACACAAACAAATTGACTGGCATTACCCACACTCATGACCGGTATTGTCCATGTATGGTGACAATACCGGTCAAAGATACTTTTTTATGTTTCGTCTCTGTCAAAGACAAAAATTTTATATTTTTGAAATTAAATGTATCTTGCAATAAGTTAAAACCCCAAATTACGGATTGACGGCTTAAATTTGATTCACAGAATTTTAATTTTTTTTATATTAAATTTTCTTAGGTGACCGCGATTTGCACACTTTACCCTACTAGCTATGGAGACCTGGACAAAGATGTAAGAGATCAATTACAAAAATAAATAGACTTGCCTTAATAACACTATATCAATCAATCCGCTCTTTATAAGCATTGCTTATAAAGAGGAAGAAAAAGAAGAAGAGAAAGAAAAAAATCTTGAACACTGAAGACAACTGAAGGAGGCCTGTGATCTGCAGTGAACGATATAAGCTGTGTGATAAGCTTTGTGATTACAGGATGTTAAGGTTCTTATTAAACCAATATGAAGAACGGTTCACTTTCGTTTGCTTTCCTATATTTTCGAAAATTAGGTTTTCTATAGATTTCCTTACTTGATTCTTGGACATATTGTCGCTAAGTTGGGATTTGATAGTCATTTCTGCCTTTATTACTCGTTTTCCTTAAAAGATTCAGTTTCCTTAAAACAGAAAAACAAGGTTGAATTTCGAGCTAATCAAATAGGCTTTAGACCAGAATCCTCCTGCATAGACCACATTAATACTGTGAGGCTCATAATGGAACAATCGGTTGAATGGAACACACCCCTATACATAGTTTTTGTTGATTTCGAGCGTGCTTTTGACAGCTTATCTCATGATGCGATATGGAAAATTTGAACGTTTGAATTTGACGTACTTACTGGAGTCAGACAGGGATGCGTGCTTTCTCCGTTTCTTTTTAACATAGCTCTAGACTATGTTCTCTCCAAACTACCAGACTCTGACACAAGAGGGATACAATGGACGTTAATCACACGCCTAAGCGATCTAGAATACGCCGACGATATCTGCCTGTTAGGACAAAGGTTCCAAGATGTGGCTGACCAATTGGAAACACTTTCCACTGAAGCCAATAAAATAGGTTTGAAAATCAATATTGGTAAAACCAAATCCATGAGAATAAATGCAAGAAACAACACGCTATTCACCATTAATAACATGCAGATTGAAAATGTGGAAAACTTTACGTATCTTGGAAGTGTCATAACAGAAAGCGGAGGTACAGAAGACGATATTCGTATGAGGATACGAAAAGCGCAACAAGCTTTCAGCATGCTCAACCCTGTTTGGAGGTCTGGAGACTACACTACGAGGACAAAGATCCGCATATTCCAGTCAAATGTCATGTCTGTACTACTTTACGGATGTGAAACCTGGAAAGCGACAAAAACCCTTACAGACAAACTGCAGGTCTTTGTTAATAAATGTCTACGAAGAATTGTTCGTATTTTCTGGCCTAACATTATCAGAAACTAAGATTTACTACACCTGACCAAACAAAAGAGGGTAGTAAATGAAATAAAGTCCAGAAAGTGGAGTTGGATCGGTCACACACTCCGAAAAAATAACTCCAGTATTGCAAAGACTGCCCTAGAGTGGAATCCCCAAGGAAAACGAAAAAAAGGACGAGATAAGAAAACAAGGAAAGTCCTGGAATGAGGTGAAGGCCTTAGCGCAAAATAGAACCCGATGGCGCGTTTTCACTGAAGCTCTATGCTCCACTTAGGAGTTCAAGAACCTTATATATATATATATATATATATATATATATATATATATATATATATATATATAAAACAGAAAAAGCTATTTTACAGTGATTAGCTTGAAAGTTTAATAAGTGAAAGTTTTTTACCTTAGTATGAAAACCTTGTATATTTATCACACACTGTATAAAAATATAAATAATAATAAATGTCACTTAATTATAATAATTAACAACATTTCATTGTTAATAGCTCAAGACCGTTTTGACGCACACGACAATTGTCAGGCCCTACTTCTTCTGAAGATTACTTTCATGCTACGACTTTTCTGTACCCGTCAATAATAGTTCTTGTTTAAATGTACAGATAAAAACACTATAATTCAAGAAACATGTCTCTGAAATTATTTTTATATTTTATTTTGCTCAACAACGTGAAAGGTGACAGATTCCATCTAGGAGACAGATTGTACGTTAACAGAAGATTTGAAGATATATACACAAATCACAGAAATCCCGAAGAAGTTTTACATAGCTATAGAGATGTTTACGAAGTACCTTACAGAACCCCGAAAAGAATATATCCAGAAAAAATATCATTAGGTAGTTTTGAAACAAATGCAGATCTCGATAGAATGGATTTTCATTATCCTCAAGTAGAATTTATGACGAAGAACGATAATCTAGTATCAGAATACGGAGATTTTGATAATGGCTATAGTTTCACGCAAAGTCAAACAGTGCCAAATCGAATTGAAAGCACGGAGAAACCTTTCCCGAGGAATCCACGTCTGAAGCAATCTAAACAAAACTATACAGTACGTACTTACAAACCAGTAAGATTATCTTATGTTCAGAAGATAACAAAACCGCAATCAAACAAAGTAATCACTAGTAACAAGATTTCAAAATATGCTGAGCTATTAACAGATGCAACAGAAACAACCACTAAAGCTATTAAAACCCAGGACAAGATCACAGGACTGTTAAAAAAGTATTTAGCAAATCTGTACACGAAGAAGTACAACTCCACGAATCTAGACAGTGCAGAAACAGCAACAGGTTTTCCCAACGACTTTGAGTCTTCAGAAGGATCTCCGGAAACAAAACTTTTCTTAAACAATCAGCTAGTAACAAAGAAAAAGAATAAAATTAACAAAATCAAGAAGTTGTTTAGTTTGTTTACGATTGTCCAGTTCAACAACACTCAGTGTAACGCTACAAATGAAGTTGGCTCATATCTTGGTTTATGTTATACTGCTGCAGAATGTTCTAATCTAGGTGGTACCGCTGTTGGAAACTGTGCTAGTGGATATGGAGTTTGCTGCATATGTAAGTACAACTTTAGTATAATTTGTCAGTTTTCAATTTACAAATTTGAAAAGTATGGTATTAAAATCTTAAATTTTTGAGAAATAGAATATTTCTCCTAAATTGTTTAAATTGTCGCACCATCTTTTTTTCGTCTGCCAGTACTTATTCGTCCATTTGGTGACTTATCTATTGTTATTCGTACTATCCAATCCTCTGCCATTCTACTAATGTGTTCGTTCTACTCCTGTTTCCGTTTTTTCAGTAATCCATTTATCTCTTCTATATTGCATGCTCTTCTTATGTTTTCGTTTCTCTTCCTATCCAACAGACTTTTCCCTGATATTCGTCGGATAATTTTATCTCTGTTGTGTCTAGTAGTCGTCTAGTTAGATGTGTCAGGTCTTGTCTCCGCCGTGTATGTTAATAAAGGTCTAAGTGCTGCTTTATAGATTCTTGTTTTTGTGTCTTGTCTTAGGTGTTTGTTCTTCCAGATTGTGTCATTAAGAGATTCAGCCGCTTTACTTGATTTTAAGCTTTGTTGTCATACTTCTTCTTCAACATCTATGTAACTAGTTATATCTATTCCCAGATATCTAAACCTTGCTTCCTGCTTTATTATCTTCTCATCAATTTCAATTTTACATCATAGTGGGTATTTAGATGTTGTCATACATTTGGTTTTTTCTGCTGATATTATCATATTGGTCGGTCAGATAGCTCAGTGGGCTGTGCGGCTGCCTCTCATTCGCTTCACTGTCAAATGGTTCAGTGGATGTGGGATCGAGCCCCAGCTCGGTGTACAGAAAACAAAAAGTCTAACGCAGCAGTTTAAAATTTTAGATGAATCTGCGACTTAGACTAGGATATGCTGGGATCTGATCGGCCTATGGTGGAGCAGTACGGCAAGAGATAAGGGCTTGCGTCTCGGTGATACTCCTCCACAGATCCCTACCGGACGGGCGTAACGCCTAAAAAACCGGATATATATATTATCATATTGACAAAATTACATTATCAGCAAATCTCACTGATATTTGATGACAAGAATTTCTCTCACATATGCAAATTTCAAATTTCAAGTCACATATCCAGTGTTGATTTTCCTCACTCCAATACCTCAAATTTTCGCAGTTTACATTTTCACACAGTGTAAATATTGCTTCAATTGTAAAACATATTATGTTGTTACAATTTTATTTATCATTACACACTAAACTCTAATCTATGGTGGTAGTCATTTTCATTTAATTTTTGCAACAACTGGATTTTAAAGGGTTTAATGAATTCTTATATAATACAGTCAATACTGAAGAATGACCTACATCATGTATATATGCAGATCTGCGTGAAGATCTGCATGACGATGCTGGAGTAAATCTAAAGTTTTATTGTAATTTCTAAGATTTTTTGGTCTACCTGTTCGAATGCCATCTTTTACTCGTCCAGTTTCCTAAAAGTGCTTTACAATTTTTTTACCGTCATCATTAAAACAGTAATTTGCTCTTTTTTATTAAAAACCTCTAGTGCTTTTAAAAACACATAAAACAACTGTCAGCTTTGGTTATTAATATATTTTATTCACAGCAAATTCAAAATCAAAACATTCTATATGTACTGAATTAGAAGCAAAAGAAGCAGCAGAAATTGAAAGCATCAAATTTTAAATCTCTACATTGCAGTATCTCTAATTCTTGGACGACACTTTTAATAAGTTTTAATAAAAAATTTTTATACCTATATACAAATTTGAAGTTTTTATTCCTGTATCAGATTATTTTAAGTTGTTTTTCTCCCATTTGGTATCCTCTTTTAGTTCTTACTTTTTTTATTATCTTATTCATAATCTAGTTGAACAATAGAGGACTCATGGAATCTCCCTGTCTTATCCCATTTTCAGCTTCAATAGGGTCGGTTAGTTCGTTTTACTTTTATTGTGTTGTTTTGGTAGACATTTTCGATCGTTTTGATTATTCCTAGTGGTATCTCTTTTGCGTACAATAAGTGGATAACGTCCTTTAATTTGGTTCAGTCAAATGCCTTCTTAAGGTCCACGAAACATAGATATGCCGGTCTGTTGTATTCTAATGATTTCTCTTGCACTTGCCTTATTATAAATATAGCGTCGCTGCAAGATCTTCCCGATTTAAAACCTTGTTGTTCTTCTGCTAGTGATATAATTTTATTTAGTTTATTTGTTATCACTTTGGTTGTTAATTTTAGTGTTGTGTTTCATAAATTAATTCCTTTGTAATTTTTCGAGTCTGATTTGTCTCCCTTTTTGAAGAAAAGTATTAGGGTGCTTGATATCTATTCTTGAGGAATTCTGTTTTGTCTATTATTTTTTGGATTAGTTTTAATAGTTGTTTGGTCAGATCTGGTCCTCCGTACTTTTTCGGAGAACTCCGTACGGAGTTTGTTCGGTATTCTGTCCTTTCCTGGTGATTTTCTATTTTTTTATTTCCTTAATGCATACTTTACCTCTTCCTCCTCAATATTTATTCCTTCGTTTGTCGTCCTCTCTGGTGTTGGTGGTTCATTATCGAAAGTACTCTACCCATGTTTCCTTCTGAATGTGTTTCGTTTTTATTAATTCGTTCATCTCTTTTCTTTGCCCTCTGATCATTCTCCATATTTCTTTTTGTGTTCCGTAGAAAACGGGTTCCATCTGGTTTGAGAAGCTCTGCCAGTGTTTCCTTTTTATTTGTCTAACTAAAGTATTCGTTTTATTTCTGATTCGTTTATAGTGATAATATGCCTGTTGTGTTTGTAAAAGGCTTTCTTCTTTTCTTTACATTCTGTCTTCACTTCCTTTCTAAACCGTGGTGTTTTATTTTTTGATAGGTTAGTGTTAGTTCCGTCACTCTCTCCAAGTGATTCTGTTGCTGCGGTAATTATGTTATTTTTGAGTTTTTCCCAGTTTTCCTCGATGTTATCGTTTTCTAATATTTCATTCGCAGTGATCTTCTCTGATATTATTTTCCTGTATAAGTATTCCGTGGATTCCGTATTTAGTCCTTCGACTTTGATTTTTGTTTGTGTTGGGGCTGCTCTCTTGGGTGTGAAATATTTCAGGATGATTCTTATTTTACTTAACACAAGGCTATGGTCGCTACCTACATCTGCTCAATTGAGGCATCTTACGTCCATTATTTTTGATGGATGTATATCTCTGTTGGTTACAACATAATCATCATAGATCTTTGTCCTCAGATATAATTAAACGTATATTCATATATTTATACTAACAGTCTGAGTAACTGTATGTCGTCAACCTTTCTTCTAGTTCCATGACCGTTATCGATCGTTGAATATCATGTTGGCTACCATATTCGCTATCGTGACTTTATTGACAGCAGCTCTAAATAACGATGTAGTTGATTTTCCATACCATTGCCTCAGATTTTTCAGCCATAATGTTGGCAGCAAATATTTGATTTCACGCAAACAAATCCTATGTATCTCTTGATACGTATTTCGACCTAATAGGTCTCGTCAGAAGAGCTATTCATAGGGGTTCTCAACGTGAAAAATCAATATTTTCTGCCTTTTAAGAAGCAACAATAACATGGCTTCAATACGGACGCAGTAGCGACATCTAATTAAACAATCGTAAAATAGTTTCGAAACACAATTCGGATTTCTGCTTTATAATCTGAGCCTTCTAAGAAATGCAAGGAAAACAGACGTTGATAAAAGATGTTAAAAGAGACATGGGGAATCTAAAATTTGCATTCCACGACATGTCTTTTACAACTAAGCAGAGAATAAAATGAGAAAAGGCAGCAAATATTTGATTTCACGCAAACAAATCCTATGTATCTCTTGATACGTATTTCGACCTAATAGGTCTCATCAGAAGAGCTATTCATAGGGGTTCTCAACGTGAAAAATCAATATTTTCTGCCTTTTAAGAATCAACAATAACATGGCTTCAATACGGACGCAGTAGATTAGCGTCTAGCCGTTGGCAGGTCAGTATAATCCTGACCAATCCAATCGCACTTGATTTTGTGTGTAGCGCGTCATTCAAATTATGTACAGGTTTGAATGTAACAGTCCTCATTTCTCATATCACGAAACGTTCTCAGATTGTTCACACAAATAAGGAGTTATGTTTAATTGTTTTGAATACACAGAAACTCATAAAAATGTTGTAGATACTTCAACGGAAGATAGCAAAATCAAGAAAGATTCTAAGAAGTGTCCTTTGTATAATTTTTATTCAAGTTATGTTGCAGAATTGCATTCTCATTTTCAAGAAGAACACAACCTAATCCTATAAAGTGAAACACTTCAATTTTCCAATTTAGTCTCTTTTCAGGAGTGGAAATGTTTTATTGAAAGTAGTACAAAAACCAAATACGTTAAAGTCGAGAACTTTTCCGCAAAGACTCACAAAACAATGAAATTTCTCTGTCATCGGTCAGGCTGCTTTAATTCTGAAAGCAAAGGAAAAAGGCACTTAAAAATGAAAGGCAGTATAAAAATTGGAGGATTTTGCCCAGCAGTCTCACGGTTGTGGTTGATTTGGCAGAAAAAGTTGAAGTCAATTTTATAAAAACACACATTGGACATCAAACTGATATTTTGCAGTTATTTCCAAGTCTATCTGAACGTCAGTTTATTGCTGATATTTAATTGTGGACATTATTTTTATTATACAACAACATAACAAATAACAACAACTATGATCTATAATAATAATAAGTGACAAGCAGACAAGCCCTCCCTCACTTGTTGCCAACTCACAATAAAATAATATTTATAATATGTAAAATAAAACTGTGTATTTAAAACAACTAAACATTATTTCTTGTTTGAGTGAACAATCCGAGAACGTTTCGTGATATGAGAAATGAGAACTGTTACATTCAAATATGTACATAATTTAAATGACGCGCCACACACATACTCAAGTGCGATTGGATTGGTCAGGATTATCCTGACCTGCAACGGCTAGACGCTAGTACGCAGTAGCGACATCTAATTAAACAATCGTAAAATAGTTTCGAAACACAATTCAGATTTCTGATTTATAATCTGAGCCTTCTAAGAATTGCAAGGCAAACAGACGTTGATAAAAGATGTTAAAAGAGACATGGGGAATCTAAAATTTGCATTCCACGACATGTCTTTTGCAATTAAGCAGAAATCCTTAGCGAATTGTGTTTCTCGTACTCCACAGAGTATATCCGAATAAAATGAGAAAAGGCAGCAAATATTTGATTTCACGCAAACAAATCCTATGTATCTCTTGATACGTATTTCGACCTAATAGGTCTCGTCAGAAGAGCTATTCATAGGGGTTCTCAACGTGAAAAATCAATATTTTCTGCCTTTTAAGAAGCAACAATAACATGGCTTCAATACGGACGCAGTAGCGACATCTAATTAAACAATCGTAAAATAGTTTCGAAACACAACTCAGATTTCTAAATCTAGATAGGATTTGTTTGCGTGAAATCGAATATTTGCTGCCTTTTCTCATTTTATTCGGATATACTCTGTGGGAGTACGAGAAACACAATTCGCTAAGGATTTCTGCTTAGTTGTAAAAGACATGTCATGGAATGCAAATTTTAGATTCCCCATGTCTCTTTTAACATCTTTTATCAACGTCTGTTTGCCTTGCAATTCTTAGAAGGCTCAGATTATAAATCAGAAATCTGAATTGTGTTTCGAAACTATTTTACGATTGTCAAAAAATATTGTTTATTCTTAGTTCGTTATTAGTGCAGAAGTTTATCATCTGTTCTCGCTTTTCATTTTTAACATTCTCGTTATGTTTTTGCTTAATTTCGGGTATTATTTGATTGCCTATTTAAGCGTTAAAATCCCTCAATATTATCATCTTTCCTCTGACTTTATCTACTACTTGTTCTAATTGGTCATAAAACGTTTCGCTTGTTGCATGAGACTTGTTATTTTCTGGTTCCTATACTCCGATGATTATGTCCTTTCTGATATGTATTGACACTCTTTGATGTGATTTTGGTATCTTTGGTGTATTACTAAGGCAACACCTTCTTGAGCCCTATTTTCTTGTGCTACTCCACTGTAGATTCGTATGTATTCACTTAATTTTTGTTGACCTTTTCCTTTCTTTTTTATTTCCTGTAGAGCACAAATGTCTACTTCCTTCTCTTTCAACACTTGAGTTATTTCTTGGTCCCTTGAGTTGAGCGATCTGATATTCCTGATATGAAGTCATCATCATCATCATCATCATCTTGGTGCTACAGCCCTTAGAGGGCCTCGACCTTCTCAAGCTTTCTACGCCATTCTGTTCTGTCCCTTGCTTGAATTTTCCAGTTGCCGACTCCGATCTTCTCCGCATCTTGTGTTACCCCATCCATCCACCTCAGCTTTGGTCTACCCCGTCGTCTCATTCCCACAGGTTGCGCTGTTAGAATCTTTTTTATCATGTTCGATTCAGGGGCCCGGGCTACATGTCCTGCCCACTGCAGGCGGTTTCGCTTAATTATAGTGGTAATATCTTTACCACCAAACGTATGCTTGTAGATATTCAGCAGTTCGAAGTTATATCTACGCCTCCATATTCCGTTCTCACAGACCGCTCCAAATATCTTGCGTAGCACCTTTCTTTCAAAAATGGATAGAGCGGATTCATCTGTTTTCGTTAGCGTCCATGCCTCTGATCCGTATGTGAGAACGGGGACTATCAGTGTTCTATACAGCCTTAAAGTAGTGAGCAGTATTTGCTTTTACGATTTCTTAGGTTGCTAACCTTGCAAATCACCCTCCACATTTTATCCGAGTTTGGGACCGGATGTGGTAACCGGTAACCGCAAACCTACTCAATTTATCCCGCAATCACCCCAAGCAGTGTTACCTGCCCTAAGATAGTTAAATCAAATAATATAGAGTATATGATATAGTATAATATACTACATTACACTATACCATAGTCGCAAAGTAATATTTAAATTTCAGTCAAAGGAACATGTGGTGGTTCGGCTTCCCAAAACTGCAGTTATTTCGAAAGTCCAAATTATCCTGACTATTATCCAGCTGGAGGAATGGTTATCGTACCAACCACAATGGCACCGCCTGCTACAACAATCAATCCTTCACCAACCCCCGATCCTAGGATCTACTGGAATTTTTTTAATAATGAACTAGCACGACAAAGTACAGATAATACGTTGTCGTGCATTTTCAGCGTATATAAAGTGTCTGACAGTGTTACGAAGATGAAGATTGACTTTTTGGATCTTGAGGTGAATATGTGTTTTTTAATATCCTTAACGTAAACAATCCAATAATGCAAGAAATAAAAAATGAGGTACTCGCTTAATATCGTCTATATAAAAGTAAGCAACAGGAATTTATAGATAACAAAATTGCTCTTGACAGGTATACTTTTGAAAAACAATAAGTGAGTGCAACTAAAAACCATAAAAAATAAATATTACATGAGATGGAAGAATAATATTGTGAACAAAACATAATAGATTATGTTTGTTCTAGTATATTGTTGTATATTTATATTGTTCTGATTTATTTGTCTTTATTCTAATTTATTGTCTATATTTTAATTTATTAAAACTCACGATAGCTAATTACTAATTTATTAAATAACTGTACAAATTTCTGTTATGTTCGATACATTTTAAAATCGCGGTTCCCGAGATTCTTATGACTGACTCCAAATGAAAAATCTTTCGTTTATATACACAACTGTTGTCATCTCGAAAGTTCGGCGACCTTCTACATTATAATGGAACTTCTTGAATAATCTCGTATTTTGGTGAAGGCGCTCGACTCGTTTTTCAATTGTTTGAAAAGTCTCGAGACGTGGATTACTCATAAAATTGGGATCTAAAGGTTTCTGTAAACAACTTCGAATTTACTGGAACAGAAAACAGAATTAGTCATAATATATTGATAGTTATAAACGCCATAATTATCGTAACAATATTTAAAATAAAAAAAATTGTAAATATTTAAAGAATAAAAAAGTTATGAGTTCGTCTCTTCTTCTTGGAGTGTTATGTCCCTACGAAATGTTGACGAATGCCATGATTATAACATTGCTGTATTGTTCTTAATCTTAGACTACATGTCTAATCTGCTGTCAAACCTCTCCGCTGGTGCAATTCCTTAACCAGGTGAGTTTCTTCCGCTCGTTCCGATTTTACCAGTGAGAATTAGCCGAAGAAACTCAGATGTTGGTCTTCCGATTGTATATCATTTTTCTTCTTTTTGTTTATCTCGAACTTTGTTTACAGCCGTTCTAAATAGTTCGTTTGTAATGCAACTAAACCACTCTCTTCGATATCTTATCCAGGACATTCTTCGGCGCGAAGAATGCCGAAGAAACGCGCGAGCAGATATTCAACAGCAGATAAGTGGTAGTAGAGTTAATGGTCCTTATGAACTTACCTTATTTGTTTGTTTTATAGCTTACAAAATTATAATTATTTGTTAAAATTTTTAAATTTTTGGGAAAGTATGCAGTTCTCAAATTTTTTATATTATAAAATGAACTTTAACGCAATAGTCTCTATAGACAAATAATAATAGCGTATAATTGGTTGCTATTACGAGCATTAGCATACATTTCTATCGTATTTAGTGGTAATAAAAATATTCTCTTGTTAACAATTAAGTTATAAGTCATAGGAAAATCAAGAAAAGCTTACGATAGTGCTAAAACACAGTATTTGGTCTAATACTTAATTTTTTTAATGATATTTTTAAATTTTGATGTGTTTATTTTTCATTTTACCAGATTTTTCTTTTTAGCAACTTGTTCAATATAGATGAATACATTGTAATACATTCTACATCTACTAAGAACCTATAATAAGTCATTTGTTTATTTTTAATTAATTTTTGTTTAGTTGGCTGGCGCCACAAATGGAACCTGTACCGTTGAAAGTTTAGTGATCACTGGACAAAGTTCAAATTTTGTGGTACCACCCATATGTGGATATAACACGGGCAATCAAGTAAGTATTTCTCAGTAGCATGAACGTTTTTATTTATAAACCTATGCAGATATTGGATCTGAACATCAACCACTTGTCATCATCATCACTGGCTCGACAACCCTTTTTGGGTCTTGGCCTGTTCAAGGATTCTTCTCCATTCTGACCTGTTTCGTGCTTTTTTTTTCCAGTTTTTAATTTTTAATGTTGTTATATCATTTTCTATTTGTTCTACGTATCTCAGCTTCGGTCTTCCTCTTGTTCTTTTTCCTACTGGCACTTGTTTGAATATTTTGTTTGGTATTTCGCCTTCTTCCATTCTTTCCACATGTCCAATCCAACGTAGCCTTCCTATTTTAATGAATGTTATGATATCCGGATCCTGGTATATGTTGTATAGTTCAAAGTTATACCTTCTCCGCCAAATCCCGTTTTCTTTTGTGCCCTTATATATGTGTCGCAAGATTTTTCTTTCAAAGGTGGCTAATAACGTTTCCTCCCTTTTAGAGAGTGTCCAGGTTTCTGAACCGTATGTGAGTACCGGTCTTATTAAGGTTTTGTATATTTGGCATTTTGTTTTTCTGGAGACGTTATCTGATCTTAGTTGCCTAATTAAGCCATGGTAACATTTATTGGCAATAAATATTCTCCTCTTCACTTCCTCTGCAACGTTGTTATCAGACGTAACTAGGGATCCTAAGTATGTAAAGTTTTTTACCGCCTCAATATTGTATTCTCCTATTGTTAAATTTGGCAGCTGCCTTATTTGTGCGTTTTTATTTGCAGGCATATATTTTGTTTTTGTCTGATTGATTTTAAGACCACTATTTTTTGCAGCTCGTTCTATTTGAGTGAATGCCTCTATCATTTCTCTTCTTGATCTTGCGATTATATCAACATCATCTGCAAATGCTAGTACTTGCACGCTTTTATTAATTATTGTTCCTCGGGTATTAACTGTTGTGTCTCTTATTATTTTTTCAAGTATGATGTTGAATAATATGCATGATAGAGCGTCTCCTTGGCGTAGTCCCTTCTTTACATCTATTGTTTCCGTTAATTCGTTTTGTATCCGGATTTTACTTTCTACTTTTAGTGTTTCTTTTATCAATTCTATTAGCTGTGTTGGTATATTAAATTCTTTCATTGCTTTTATTAGGAATTCTCGGTTTATATTGTCATATGCGCTTTCGAAGTCTATGAAGAGATGATGTGTGTCGATGTTATATTCACTTGTTTTTTCAAGTATCTGTCGCAGAACAAATATCTGGTCTATTGTTGACTTCTGTCTATAGAAGCCACATTGGTATTTGCCAACTATTTTTTCAGCGTATGGTCTAAGTCTTTCATACATTACGTTGGACATTATTTTGTATGCCGCATTCAACAGCGTGATTCCACGGTAGTTTTCACATTCTAACTGGTTTCCTTTTTTATGTAGTGGTACAATAATGCCGCTATTCCACTCCTTTGGTAGCTGTTTATTCAACCATATCTTTCTTATCAGCTCATGTATGGCTTTAAGTAATGCGTCTCCTCCCTCTTTCAGTAGCTCCGATGATATTTGATCCAATCCCGGTGATTTATTGTTCTTTAATTTGTCCACTGCTGTTCTAATCTCTGCTATTGTTGGTGGACTCTTTTCTCTGTTGTCTGCTTGGTCTAACGGTATATCAGGGTTCATCTCCGTCCTATTCACCCCAAGCTTTTCCTTAAAATGTTCTGTCCATCTTCTAAGTATCTCTTTCTGTTCTGTCAATATATTACCCTCCTTATCTTTACACATCGTTGTTCTCGGTTTGAACTCTTTTCTGCTTTTGTTGAGTTTCTGGTAAAATTTTCTTGTCTCTGTTGGTTTACTTAGTTCTTGTAGTCCTTGAAGTTCTTTGTTGATATATTCTCTCTTCTTTCTTCGGTGAATTTCCTTTTCTTCTTTACGTAGTTGTTTATATTCTTCCTCTGCTTGTCGGGTTCTATGCCTCTGTTGCATCTGTAGATATGCTCTGTTTTTTCTTTCTGTTATAGTTTGACATTCTTCGTCAAACCAGTGATTCGTTCTTGTTCTTCTTTCTTTACCTTCCATGCCCAACACCTCTTTAGCTGTTTCTTTTATGATTTCTCTGCACTCTTCCCACTCCTCATTTAGGTTTTCATGTTTTAGTCTGTTTTCTAGTTTGATGCTTATATTTTCTTTGTACTCTCTATTTTTGTTTGTTTCTTTGAGTCCTTCTATATTGTATCGTTCATGTTTAGAGCCTTTTTCCTTTTTGATGTTTGAAATTCTAGCCCTTATCCTACTTTCGACTAGGTAGTGATCAGAATCCGCATTTGCTCCTCTTCTGGTACGGACGTTTATTATATTCGATTGGTGTCTTGAGTCTACAATAACATGATCTATCATATTCACTGTAAGTCCGTCTGGTGATTTCCAGGTGCCTTTGTGTATATCTTTTCGAGCGAAGTATGTGCTGGCAATCACCATGTTAAGTGATCTTGCTAGGTTTACCAACCTATTGCCATTGTCATTTGATTGTTCATGGAGACTGTGCTTACCTATTGTGGGTTGGAATTGCTGCTCTCTTCCAACTTTTGCGTTTAGGTCTCCATAAATTATTTTTATATCACTTTTTGGGCATGACTGGTATGCGGACTCTAATTCATCATAAAACTCTTCTTTGACTTCCTCTTCTTTTTCTTCTGTGGGAGCATGCGCATTAATTAGGCTGTAGTTGAAGAAACGTCCTTTAGTTCTTAAAATACACATTCTGGGACTGATGGCTCTGAAGTCTTTTATTATATGTCTTACTCTATTGTTAACTATGAATCCAGTGCCCAAAATGTGATCTTTAGGAGCGCAGCTGTAGAAAATGGTATGGCTCTTTTTTTCCATAATATTGTTTCCAATCCACCTCATTTCTTGTATGGCAGTTATGTCAATTTTGTATCTACTTAGTTCGTTTAAGAGATTTTGGAGAGCCCTAATCTGTACAATGTTCGAACATTCCATGTTGCAACCCTCAAATCGTGTTCCTTTTTCTCGCACAGTCGTCGTCGTTTAATCAGTCCGGCTTTTCTTCCTTGAACGTTCATAACTCATGGTTTTTCTAGGAGAAGGTAGTTAACCTTCAGCCCAACCCCCTATTCGTCGGAGGACCAAGACTCCCTTCTTCGTCAGCCCTGACCCCACCTTCCATTGGGGTTGGTTACCCAATCTCCAGTGGGGTTGCTCAGGTTACCGGTGTGTACCAGCTTGGAGGTGAAGATAGGAATTGAGTAGGAGAAGCTAAGTGATGCCAACAGGATACGACATCATGTATTGCGCTTCACTACCCCTTTACACACCTCAACCACTTGTAGCAGATATTAAACTAAGGCTAAAACGACTTCAGCGACAAAAACCAAAAATCAATGTACTTAACTTTGACGATATTAACATAAACCATAACATAGAAAAAAGGTAGAACATCCAGAAGAACTATGGAGTGAATTTAAAAACCAAGTTAACGAAATCTTCACAAACAATGATTATTATAGAAAAAACTTAAAATCAAGAAAAATAAATGGATGACAGATGACATCTTGAAATTACTACAACTATAATAAACACGACTTATTTAATGTTCACAAAAAACTAAAAGAAATGAGTAACATATTTGTGAAAAAAACGAATTCCCTCTATACTCGTTGACAATAATAACAAAATTGTTGTAAATGAATACGAAATAAGAAAAGAGTGGCAGCTGTATATTATATCAGAGTTGTTTGAAGATAACAGGAATAATATTGCCGAATTCTACCAATTTGTACTGACGGCCCAGAAATTATGAAATGCGAGGTAGAACACGCTATAAATAATGCTAAAATTAGAAAAGCTTATGGTCTAGAACTAGATGATACACCAACTGAGTTACTGAAACTAATAGAGAATGATAAGATAAAAGTAGTAGTAAGACTTTTTAATTCAATATATAACACCGAGGTGATTCTCACAGATTGGTTCAAATCCATCTTTGTCGCAATACCTAAAAAACACAATGCGAGAAAATGCTCATAATATCGATTAATTAGCCTAATGAGCCACAATCTTAAAATTTTCACAAGAATACTATACAAGAGAATTAGACGCAAATGCGAAGATCTCGAAGATACCCAATTTGGATTTAGAAATGATATGGGAACCAGGGAGGCACTTTTTGCTATTACAAAAATGCCGTGACCAAAAAAAAGATGTATTTGCATGTTTCGTGGACTTCGAAAAGGCATTCGATAAGTACAGCATGTAAAATTAATGCAAATACTGAAAAATATCGGAATAGATGACAAGCAATGACAAGGATATTCGTGTCATTAAATATTTGTACTGGAATCAAACTGCTATCGTAAAAATTGGAGATAACTACACCGATGAAATCTCCATACAACGAGGAGTCAGACAAGGTTGCATTTTATCGCCAACATTGTTCAATGTTTACTCGGACCAGTTATTTGAAAAGCCATTGAGAGACAACCATATGGAATAAAAATCAACGGGGAACTGCTTAATGTGTTTAGATATGCAGACAATACAGTAATTCTGTCTAATAATATTGAAAGTCTTCAAATTCTACTTGATCGTATTCACGTGGTAAGAGAGGAAATGGGCATAAAAATAATCTCAAACAAAACCAAATTTTTAGTGTTTAGTCGTGACCCACATAACGATGCAACGCTTCAATTAAACGGAGTCCAAGTTGAGAACGTTCACAAAATAACATATTTCGGAACTGTAATAACGAAATAACTAGATCCAGACATAGAAATAAAACGTAGAATAGCAATGACTAAAACTACTTTTATGAAAATGAAGTCATTTCTTTGCAATAGTAATCTTAGTTTAGAACTAAGAAAAAGAATGGTTAAGTGCTATGTTTGGTCCGTACTTTTGTATAGTGCAGAAGTGTGGACGCTAAAAGTATCGATCATGAACAAAATTAAAGCATTGGAAATATGGGTTCTTAGATGAATGCTGAAGATACCTTGGA